GCCTCCATGTGACTGATACTCACATCACATGGCTATCGTTGACACCTAATTAACAATTATTGTCAACAGGGGGTGGAGTGGAGTTAACTTACTGTTGACAATAAGTGTTAATTAGGTGTCAACAACAGCCATGTGATGTGAGTATCAGTCACCTGGAGGCAGGACTTAAAAGCCTGAATTTTTGCCTGAAACTCTCAGACTGAAGAAGTCTCTTGGAGGAGAGACGAAACGTTTCATTAAAGAAGAACCCGTCCAGAGGACCTACAAAATTTTTTTCTTTTAAAAATAATAAGACACACTCAGCATCCCCTATATCTTTTGAAAATAACATTTTTATACCTGTCCTTAAATTTTATTTTTTATATATTTTGATATTCCTTAAGTTCCACACTCTTCCACACTTTTCCACAAAATTTAACTGGAGCTTGCATATACATTGGCAAAGAATTAAATGAATAAAACACAGTTCTCACACTCATATGTGCCTAATTATGCGACAAAATGGGGAAGCAAGTGTGTCATTTCAGGCTGTGGAACCATGATTTGTTGAAAGAAATCAGGGTTCAAATCCAGCAAAAAGGTATTTATGGCAACATGTGCCAAAATGCCATGATTTGTTTCAATATTAACCAGACAGATACGATTTTTGTGCTCAAGCAAAAATTCACTTTTTATTCCACCTACAATGAATGAGCTCTGAGCTGCTGTCTTAAAATTAGCATTTAAATGACGACTTTTATACATTCGTGTGCATCTGGTGCTACCGTGCTCTTACTCCATTCTGTCAAATTAAGAGGCAGAAAAAAAGATGCAGCCCTATTTTAAAACTTTAAAAGACTTTTGTTTTCTCATCTTCACAGCTGAACACTGATTAAATTAATTGTATTAAACCAACTCAAAGGTTAGAGAAGGGGGTAGAGAATGTTATATTAATTATTTTTTTAGTTTGTGAATGAATGAGCAAGATTAGAATGTATAAACTCCACAGGCTTATTTTTATTTGTCTTACTGAAACTAACCTGAGAAATGTTCTAGACAGATTCCAGGAGAAAACTGAGAACCCTCGCAAAATGTTCCAAGTCATTTTGGAAACGGTCATTGTCCTCGACAGTCACAGCCCCGTGAGGTACAGGCTCAAAACCCAGCAGTAGTTAACAAAAAATTATTAGGTTTCTTATGTTTGTTTTTTGCCACAAACTATATTTTGGATTTTGATTGTTTGATTCTGAGCTCCTAAATTTCACAACTACCAATGTCCCCTCACATGGTTAGGATTTAAAAAGCATGAAAATAAATAAATTATGTCCTTAACGGTTTTTGTAGTACTTACAGGTAGACCAGGTATGCCAGGTGGACCCTGGAATAAAAAAACGAGACGCAAATTGAGTGAGACAGAGTCGGTCCAGTAATCTGAGCAGAAGGTAAACTGCATCTCACCTGAGGTCCAGGTGGGCCTCTGAGTCCAGGTAAGGCATTTAGCACCTCCTTTCCTTTCTGGTCACTCTGTAAATTCATACAATTTCAAAAATGTCAAGTTAAAATTGATGTTTTCTTCACATTTTTTTTTACACATCTATATGTCTGTATACACTGCTAAAACATGACCTCACTGCCCTTTAATGTATATAATATAATAAACTCTTTAACAACAAACATTTAATATTTTAAAATTTGATACTTTAAATTTACGGTAAATAAATACTGTATCAAACTTTTTATGAGACTCTCTGAATGACTTAAAACAAGTTGAGTTTTTGAATATGGATGATTTTTTTGGTTTTCTCAGTTTAGAGATATAAGCTCAACCTAATATTCTTCTGCTTATATTTTTCCATAAATATAATACAAATGCTATTTTTTCTATTACAACTGGACACTAAGACATTTTATTGAAATCAATAAGAGTGAGTCAAATACAGCTGCCATCTGAAAATTCATAATAATTTTGGTTTTATTGATTTATTTTAATGGTTTCCAGGGTAAATATAATCTGAAATGGTAAACTACAAGGCAGCCGCTGCTAATGAGGTAAGAACTCATGCTGCCATGTTGGGCTTCTTTAGTTATTGCCTGAATGGATTCAGACCATAAATCTCAAAGTAAATAATCTGTGGCCTGTATTTATCAAATTACTCTTAAGAATACGGTTTAGAATGGACTTAAGTGTAAAAAAGTCTTGGCTAAAAGCTGAGCTTTAAAGTCAGTTATCAAGCGTCTCAGTCTCACTTTAAGCGAAGTGTCAGAGTAAATCTTAAGTGTCAGTCTTAGAGCTGATTTACGACACTTTGCTGTGCCATAAAGCTGAACCTGGATGATGTTGTTACAAAACCCCCGGCATGGACCAATCACTGTGTCGGATTTCATGTTCAAGAATATTCTGAGCAATGTCAAGATAAAACTGTGAGAATCCATAACTTCACTTACAACTCACTAATGTTCATACTTGTCATGCTGTACTGATAAACTACCTAAAATATCCTCAATTGTATCATGAATACAAACAAAGAAAATCTCACAGATTTTTTTCAAAAACTCAGACAAAGTTTTTTATGTGTCATAGCCCTCAGGGCTCCGTCATTATCCGCTTGGTCTGAGACCCTCCCCCAATCATTGTTTCGTGAGAGAGATAGGAGATAGTAAGAACATATAATAGAGGGAAAGTTCAATCCCACTTTTTGGGGGTGGATTGGGGGTTGTTTGCATGCACTCACCAGCTGATGGTTTCATATTTTCTCCAAAAGCTGCACAGAAATATTTGCCTTTTAATCAAACATAATGTGAACTGGTAATAGTTTTGTTTCCCTTCTTTCTTTCGTATTGCATGACTAAACCTGGTTTCCACATCTTATCTTAGTTCCTCTGAACATTATAACTGAGAATAACCCCTCAGGTGGGGAGGAGGTCAGCTGTGTTCTCTGTCTTCAGTCCATCTCTGACTCCTAGTGGCAACTCTTAACCACCTAAGAGTCCTCTGGAGCAGTCTGAACTTTTCTTGACAGTCAGAGTGATTCTTAGACTTAAGAATTTTGATAACTGTCACTTACACTTAAGTCTGAGAATAAGAGCAAATCTAAGAAATTTTCAACACTTCAGTCTAAAATTCCACTCTAAGAAGTTTGATAAATACAGGCCCTGCTCTCTAGCCTCGTTAGCTCCTCTCTCTTTTGTAGCCACCAGTTGTGTCACAGTTTTGTTAGACTACTGTTTGTTGGGTTTGTTGGGTACCGTTTGTCTGAGTTATCCTTGCAGGATTAGGTCCTGGACTACAGGGTGAGGATAGCACCTGAATCAGACGGTCAACTGCTGGCTGGTTTGAGGTTTCTCCCTCTTTTGTTTGTTTGTTAACTGGGGCTTCCATGATTCATTTCCCTTTTCATGTCGGGATAATTGTGTTTATATATTATTAAATCCTCACAATCATTTGGACTCCATATACCATGCGTCCTGTGACTCACTCCTGGACGTACGGACCATTACATCATCTTTATGGTTATTTTAGCAGGAAAACAAGAAAAAGGGTATATACAGAGATTTTATTGGCAGTTCTAAATTAAAAACCTGTACTCACAGTACCAACAATGTATGGTGGACCTGGTGGTCCAGGGGGTCCTGGAGGCCCAACTGGTCCCATTGGACCTGGGAGCCCTGCCAGACCAGTCTGTCCTGACGTACCCGTCTTTCCTGGGTCACCTTGAGCACCCTGCATTAGGAAGGTGTTTTTGAACACTTCAGATCAGAAGCAATAGTTTGAGGACAATGAAGTGACAGAACAAAAGGGGACATCTTAATAGTGGAAAGTTGGAAATGTTGAGGCTTTTAAGACATTAAAAATGACCCAACACTGATTAAAGAAAGCAAGCAGCTGAAGATTTATCTAAGCCAGAAAGAAAGTTGAGCTTTGGTTAAAAAAAAGGAAAATATAAACTGTTAAACTTCGGGAGGAGGAAGTAAATCACCACAGAAGAGACCAAACCTGCAGCCCCATTACACACCGTAGAGGACGGAGCAAAGAAAGAAAACAGGTAATTGAAAGGGTTGTTGTCCACTTCCTCTTGCTAAAAGAAAGCAACAAAGAATCGTTGGCTTAGCCACAAAACTAGGATATGATTTTTATATCGGTTGAGCGAGAAAATCTTCAGTAAAATCGTATCTTAAATACAAAGTTCAGAAAGGTCATCCTTGACCCACCTTTTCTCCAGCTGGACCAGGGAGACCGAGATAACCGCTGTCACCCTGCAAGACCACAAGAAGGAAAAGCCAGGTTTATTTTATTCAGATAATAGGTATTTCAGCCAGCAAGGGCTCTCATTAAAGTTAAGTTTGGGACGTTGTTTGAACTCAGTAGGTGTTTCTGTTATCGAGCCTCAACAAGCCAATGAGGACACGTTCAGGCTGAGAATGTGATGCAGTGCAATAAATTAGAGTCAGATCAGACTACTTCATGTTGAGTTAAAAAGAATGTCATGTTTTATTAAAGTGTTTAGCTGGGGACACTTTTTTTAATTTCATCTGGATCAGATGTTTGTGTGAGTTATTGCTTCCTGCTTTGATGGAACAGAAAATCTTTATTTTATCTGTCACCAAGCTTAACGCTGTAGAAAAGATTGGAAACACGAGTGGCAAAACAGTTTTCTACCACGTCTCTTCATGTACTTCAGGAAAATGACCTCCACGGATTTCAGTAATATCTGACGGCAAACGCAATTTTCTGGCATTGGACACATTTTTATCTTGCAGAGTTGCATTTCAGGAAGTGAAACGGGGCAGGGGGCTAAGGTGATCAGTCAAAATTATAGGTCTGGTGCTAATTGCTGTGATGAAAGCAAGGTATACTTCTAGAGGAACATGTTGGAGGAGGCTAGGGTCAGACACTGGGAAACAGGCAGGTAGTTTGCTACATGTATCTTCCCAAATGACTTAAGAATTCAAACAACATACAGAACAGCCAAGAGTGTGTGAGGCAGCAATCAAAGCAAAAAGTGGCTACTTTGAAGAACCTCAAATATAAAACATATTTTCAGTTGTTTCACACTTTTTTGTTAAGTATATAATTCCACATGTGTTAATTTGATGCACTCAGTGTGAATCTACAATTTTCATAGTCATGAAAATAAAGAAAACTCTTTGAATGAGAAGGTGTGTCCAAACTTTTGGTCTGTACTATAGGTTCCAGTGAGCCCAAAGAGTCATAAATTCTAAAAGTTTAAAGTCCAGAAGGCCTGCAAATCTTGATATTAACACAAAAGGTCACAGCTGAGTTTTTCCTCAGTTTTCAATGCAAATTGATCACTTTAAACCAGTGGTTCCCAAACTTTTCAGCTTTTGACCCACAAAATAACAGTAGCAGAGACCTGTGCCTCCAGATATGTTTGGATGATAAACATTTATATCAGGTCAACAAAACAAGGGCATAGTAACAATATTTCTATACTACATTTATCCATTTTAAATACACTAAGCTCACTCCTTTGTAACAACTAAGACAAAAATGTAATTAATTCAGAAAATCTTTTCAGGACCCCACCTAGATTTTTCGGGACCCCACTTTGGGTCCCAACCCCAACTTTGGGAAACACTACATTAAAATGAACTTTTGGAACACTAATTGCCTTTAAAGGGGTGGGCGTGCCCATAGAAAACATGCAAACTCCACACAGAAAGACCCCAGGTCCAAATTGAGGATCGAATCCAGAATGTTCTTGCTGCGAGGCGTCAGTGCTAACCACTGATCCATGGTGCTGCCATATATGGAGTGGTGACACAACTAAAGGTCTAATATGCTCCAGCTTCACTCTGAAGATGAAGTGTGGGGATGTGACGTTGTAGTTGATATGTTAGAAATAAGATTGTTTTGAGGACAAAGAAGACTGCTCTGAATCGATGTGTAGCTGCTTCATGCTGCAGCAGTGCAGGAGAGAGGAGTGAGGAAATTTACTGTTCCAAAGAGTCCAGCTCAACTCCTCCTCCCCGACTGATGAAGGCTATCCAAGCTGCAGGACACTGACTGTAAGAAAGTGCTGCTGCGGCTTGAGGAGGGCGCTGGTTAGAGCTGCAGCTGGTAGCTCTGACCAAGGTCAGCGTTGTGTATGACAGCTAACCCCATCTTCACAGCTGATGGCTGGGGAGCTACAGTTCTGGTTCAGTATTTATAGCAAAGTGAGCTGCCGGAGCAGGCAGCCTGTTAAAGAATTCATGTTCACCATGATGGTTTAGTACTAAATGTAAGAGAGAGAGATGTGAGAGAGAAGAAGTGTCAGCAGCAGCCTGGACATAAGTTTTTAATGTTTCTTTCTGATCATCACACATGTACTGTGTGATGTAACTGTGCTTTCTGACAACATAAAATTAAGTTATGTCTGTGAGCAGCTTTACTGGGAAACCAGTCATTAAATCTTCATCACGTTTGAGCTGTGTGTATATATGTATATGTATATATAT